AAATAAATTATACAGAAAAATAACACATATACAATAAATAAGAATAAAATAACCTAAAAATAAATGAATAAAAAGAACACATACATACCTATATACAATATTTACAATCTGGTGTGGGAACTCCAAACCAGACTTGTCCCTCTAAGTGTGGAGGGAAAAGCATGGCTCCAGGAGATCCCAGCACTTCTCTCTCAACCGCGTCACTGGGGCTAAACCCAATGGAGATTGAGCAAGAGTGCTTAAGCCACATACACTCATGTCGTGAGTGGAGAATCTGGCCATTGCCAGAACTCCAATATTTACGAACTATAAAAAGTGCGGGGCCACTGCCGTTTTAACCTCCTTGGAGGATTATATGGATGGGTGGTGCTGGATAGAGATTGTGCAAAGGGATTTGGATGATGGGTAAGGTTCTGGTGGAATTTGGAGAATTTTGATGGGATAAGGTCTAAGACAAATGGGATATTAAGGTCATGGTGTATGGTTTTGTTGGTTACATAGAAAGGAGCATCGACTATTGTTCGAAGGACTTTGGATTGGAAGGATTGGATGCGTTTGATGTTAGAAAATTTTGCTGTTCCCCACAGTTCAAGTCCGGAAGTCCAGATAGGTTTCAATATTGTCTTGTAGATCAGTAACTTGTTTTCAATGGAAAGTTTAGATTTCTTGTTTAGTAGCCGGTATAGTTGGCCATATCGTCGGTTTAGTTCCTGTCTTTTAAGTCTAGTATGAGGGTTCCACGTTAGTCGTCTGTCTAAGAGAAAGCCAAGGTACCGGACTGTGTCTGAGAAAGGAAGCTGGATGCAATTAAAGTGTACTGGTGGACAGGAACTGCGTCGAAGCGTGAAGGTGATGTGTTGGCATTTTGATTCGTTTACTTTAATTCGCCATTTATTGCACCAGTGCTCAATCAGGGAGAGGTGTCTTTGAAGGTTTGAGGATGCTATATCAGGATCTGAGTCGGATGATAGAATGGCGGTGTCATCAGCAAAAGTTGCCAGGAAGGTATCGGACAGGTAGGATGGACAGAGATATCGGTGGTAAAGAGGATGTAAAGGACGGGACCCAATACGCTACCTTGAGGAACACCTGTCTCAATTGGATAGCAATGCGAAAATTCAGTACCGCAACGAACTCGGAAGGTACGATCTGAGAGGTAGGAACGGAGAACAAGGACTGAGGAAGATAGTTTTTCAGCTTGGAAAGAAGCCCGGCGTGCCATACCCTGTCGAAAGCTTGAGCATTATGTCCAGCATTATGTCCAGAAATGCACCCGAGCAATATTGCTTGCGTTCCAATGCTGCGGAAATATGATCAACCACTCGTAGTCCTTGTTGGACTGTAAAGTGTTGTGAACGAAATCCGAACTGATGGGAAGGGAGATTTTGGGATTCTATAAAGGGTATGATGCGTTTCAGGAGGATCTTTTCAAAGATTTTTGAGAGAATCGGAAGAAGGCTAATTGGTCTGTAGGACGTTGAGGTGTTGGGAGGTTTGCCTAGTTTCGGAAACAGGATAATAGTGGAATGTTTCCACAAAAGAGGAAAGTGGGTGGTTCGTAGGATGCTATTGTATATGTATGTAACTAATATGACAGCTTTAGGAGGGAGTTGTCTAAGGATCTGAGAGGTAAGGAGGTCGTATCCAGGTGATTTGCGGGTAGGTAGTTTTTGTAAGAGGAATTTGACCTCAGAAGGATTAACTGCTTTAGGCGGTAAGGAGAGTGGGATGGGTGAATTAAGGAATTCCCCTACTGCTGACGTGTGGGTGGGATTGGATTCTGGATGAGAGCTGAATGTAAGGGAAAGGTGTTTGGCGAATTCTTCGGCTCTATCTTCGTCAGACGCTGCCCGAGAGGTAAGGGAATGGTTGAGGGAACCTAAGCCACTGTGGATGAAAAAATCAAGGATATCGGGATTGCGGTTAGGATCTGTGGGCCAGTAGGTAGGTGAGTTAGGAGGAAGGATACTGAAACGTTGGGAATTGAGTGCAGATAACAATGTTCTGCCATGAGAGTTCGTGGTTCTAGAACCCCATTGATGGTGTTTGGCGTTTAAATCTCAACCCAGGATGAAATGATGTCCTAAGGAGTTGAGAAGAGAACTGAACTGGATATTGGATATGGATCTGTTAGGAGGGCAATATGCTGATGCTATGGTGACGAGAAAGGAGAAGGTTTCGATTACGATAGCGGTGGATTGTAGGAAATCTTGTGTTGGCAATGGGAGCTGGTGATGAGAAAGGAAGTGGTGTACAATAACAGCCAGGGGGCGGGGTGGCCGAATAGGCTAAAGCGTGTGTAACAGCACCGCTAGTTGCCTGGCAACCGGATAACAGAGATTTGAGATGATATAAAAAGTACGAGTTCGCGTCCCGGTGCCGGAGAGGATTTTAAATTTCCCCGCCGTCACCCCCCGGCCCGGGAAAATCCCGTATAGCCTTAAAGGCGAGGTAGGGAAGAAAAAAAAAACAAAAAAAAACAGGTGTACAATAACAGCAGTACCGGCGTGTGCTTTACCGTCAGGATGGTCAGTACGGTATGTTATGTATTGAGGTATTTTTTAAATGCTGTTTTCTGGTCAGTCGTGTTTCCGTAATTAGTGCTACGTCGATGTTCTTGTCCAGTAACAAAGCTGTTAGTTCGTCAACGTGATTTCTAACACCATTCGTATTCCAAAGGAGAATGTATATGGGTTTTGGGATGTGAGTCATTAAGGATTTTTTAAAGGGGGGATGAGGTGAGATACGAGATTTGTGAGGATTGATATGAGTGGAGTAACTAAAGATTTAAAATCGGTAAGGAATGATGCCAGCAAACTGGTGAGATCTGTTGCATTAGAAGGAGGAGGGATATGATGAATTTGTTGTTGATGGTTAGGTTTATTTGGATCAATAGGATTTTGAGGTTGGGGTTGAGGTTGTTGTTGCAGTAGGGCTTGACAATTATCGGTTGAAGTCTTACCTCTAAGTAGCTGGGAAAATGATACACTGTTGTTTACTATTCTAGAAGGGTCTCTCTCTCTTCTTGGTCTTCCTGCTTCATCTTGAATCCTGTTTTTCTGGTGTCTGGATTTGAGATTCTTGTAAATTTGGCATCCTTTGTAGTTGGCCGGGTGTCCCTCCATGCATAGTGCACACACTGCAGGATCTTGTATAGGTTTGGTGCACTCTACAGATTTGTGCTGTTCACCACATTTCATGCAACGCGGCAGATGGTGACAGTAAGTCTTCATGTGGCCATACGCCTGACAATTATGGCACTGCACGATTTTTCTCTTGGGGTATGGTTTATCTACTTTCACCATTGTGTAATATAATCTTGTTATATGGTATTTTCTCAATACCGGGTGATGGCTCCAGATCCACGAAAAATAAAGGTAGTGGAACTTTATTTTTTACTCCAGGCTGCTCCTTATTCTCCTTCATAACGTTGGTTACCTGACGTACTTTGAAACCAAGCGCCGCTAGTTCATCTTTTATCACCTCAGTTGGGGTTGAGGAGTGTAAATTTCTTATTACTACTTGTAACGATCTCTCCTGCCTAAGCTGGTACGTCTGAAAATTCGCATTCGTTTCTGAGAGGTACTTCACTATTATTCCATAGGTTTCAGCAGTCTCTGGTGTTTATTTTTGTATCATTGGTCCTGTTAAGACATGAATAACTGCCAGGGCAGATTTTATTTAGTTGGGTGCAGAACAACTGGAAATTTTTTATATTTTTCACAAATATCGGAGGAGGCCTTGGTTCTGTGTGTATTGCTGCAGACTCAATTACTTCTCGGTCATTTTGAAGCACTTGGTAGGGGTTTGGAGTAAAGAAAGGGGATTCTTCTTCATTTCTTGAGAAGTTCCTGGTATTGGCTGAGGCTCTGGTTCTGAAGTGTTCACTTTTGTTGTTGGAGATGTTTCTCGTAGGCAGCGACGAGTCCTTTGTTTGGCTGGTGAGCTAACTCCTTCTGACCGAGTCCTCTTGGGCACCTTACTGGACATCAATTGGTGAGTATATCGCATACCATAGGAGAATAAAGAAAGAAATAAAAAAAGGAAAAAAGAAATTATAAAAAAATAAATAAAAATATATCACACAGCAATATCAACTGCTCTGGTGTACACGTGAAATGTATTCAATGAGAAAATCAGAGAATCGATTTTTTAAAATAATTATAGAGTAAAATAGTTACTAATACTTGATAATTTAGTTTACTAATATTTGATAGTTTAGTATGTAAAGAATCAGTACAACCAATATATTTTTACATTTAACTCTTCTAATTGTTCATTCTGTCTTAGTTAGGTTTCTTCTATTTAAAAAATTAAAGTAATATCTCTACAATAATAAGCTAATAGGTAACTGCAAGACTGTTTCGAGGTTCTTGCGCAAGACCAAGACTCGTCTTGGTCTCGCATTTGGACAACACTACTAGAGGTCGTGTTAGAGCTTTTCTCGTTTTAACGTTCTCGAGTTCTCGAGTTTAAGTTCAAGCGACACCGATTCGAATCCGGCCTGGGCGGGTTCAAATTTATTTCGTGGCGGACCCGTGTAATCTCGACCTTCCCACTCTGGTTAGCTTAGGTTTGGTTGTCCCTCTAGAACAACCTTCTCTTCCGTATGAAAAAAAATATCGAAGAAGGGATATCGAAGAATTCCAAAAACTAGAACATGTAATGAAATGATTAGGATTTCAAGAATCACTTAAACACCATTTCATATGGTTAGTTAGTTTTTATTTTTAAAGTGATTATTGTTATATATATATGAAAAAAAAAAGCTTTCGGGCTGAAGTCCCCAAAATTAAATCCTGGATTTTTCATTTTTTTTTTCTCATTGTTAGTTGCTATTAAGAAATGTTCCAATGATCTCATAAATCCTTAATCGTACATTGACTAAGTTCCGAACCCCTTCCCTTTGTCCCGTAATAGAAGATGTTACAAAGAGAGTACGGTCCACCAGCTGCCTGTGAGCGCAACTAATTCATTGGTAGTCGCTCGTTCTCAGAACAATGGGGTTGTGTCAGTTCTGTTCAGCTGACGTCTCTAGGGAACTGTTCCTCTGGCGTTTTCTCAACTTTAGTATTCCTTTGTTCCGTCTTCAATATGTCATCCATGGAACAGTTACTGTGGATTCAGTCTTATTTCTTCCCCTTCTCTGTGCCTCTTTCTCCATTTTAGCTCTTGGTTAAAGGAAATAACTCATTCATCTATTTCACATTTTCATGTCATCTGACATAGATTTGCTGACGTTTATTTAGATTTATGTAGATAACTTTTTTTTTTTCAATGTTCTCGATAATTGTCATTTGTTTTTTATTATAGGTTATTAATGTCCAGGCGATCTCTGAGTCATCAATATCTTTGTAATCTTCGTTTAGGCTCTCCTTGGTAAAAGGGAGAAGGAAAGAAATAGAATGTGTTAGGGTATATACATACAGCACGGGCGGATCTACGGGGGGGCTTTCAGGCTGAAGCCCCCTCCCCCCCCAAATGGTAAAATATAACCATGTTTTATCGAAAAAAATATTTAAAAATTATCTCTTAAAGTATAATCGTTCATATAATTACATTTAAAAGGGCTTTAGAAATCACTTAAACACCAGTTCAGATAGGAAGTTAGTTTCTTTCTTATTTTCCAAAGTAATTATCGTTATTTTTATGAAAAAAAAAGCTTTCGGGCTGAAGCCTCCCCCCCCCCCAAAATTAAATCCTGGATCCGCTAGTGACATACAGGTATATACCTTTGAATGTGATGGTGAGAAATCATTGTACTGAGTCCATAGTCAATTACATATATTTTTAATCTAATTTTGTTGATAAGCTGATAATATTTATGGGGCTAGTAAAAATTATTAATGTTACAATTAAAATGAAAGAAGTTAAGATGTAATAAATAATAAACACTAAATAAAAAAACAAAACATCTAATAAATTATCTTTGATACTTATTAATTCTGCATTAATAGATCATAAATTAGGAAGTCCAGCTATTTATGTCGCTTTTCTATCCTTTTAGGTTTTTGAATGCATCACCTTTTTATTCTAGTTGTTGGCATTATCTTGATACTAATACCTTTGTATTGATGTTGCAGAATACCTATGGGCGGCCAGACGACGTTGTAGCTAGGGAGACCTTAGACAATCACATCCGGCAGAATGAATCCTTCGTGCTGCGAATGTTCCAGGCCCAGTTCCGATCCTCACTGACATGCCCTAGGTGCCACCAGCAGTCCAACACCTTTGATCCCTTTCTCTGTGTTTCAGTGCCTGTACCCCAGGAGCAGCCTCGCCCTCTCTATGCCACCATACTTTACACCTCCCAACAGCCCAGGCAGGTATGTTCTGATCTCAAAGTAAAAATTTAACCTTGTTTATACTTAATAAACTTCAATCTCAGGAATATATATTTTTTCTTTTACTTCTTTCCTTGAATTAAAGTTCAAGATACTTGTTAGGTTTTGGTTCTTCTAATTCTAAACGACATGTTATTAAGTTCCAAATCCATAGATTATTTTATTATTTTTATCAAAATATTTTTTATGGAGGAGCTGGTTATTTTTTGTATTATAATCAAATCTTATTAATTTATTTCAGGTAAAGCTTGGGCTGTCATTACCTTCCCATGCAGAGATAAGAGACTTAAAAGAGCAACTTGCGTTAGATACAGGGATATCGGAAAAGCATATGCTCATCACTGAAATTGACGATATTTGTTTCCAAAGAACCTTTTCAGGTAAATATATATATATATTTGTCATTAGTTATTGAAGTAAAATACCATTTTTTTCTTTTTAGTTATTATATAATGTATGTTACTGAAGCTACATCATTCTGGTAGATGATTTTTCTCTTATTACAAACAATGTGGACTTCTTTTCTAGCCAGACTCTAGAAATCATGTAAACATTAGGATTATTTCCAAAGGTACTAGTGGGCCAAGAGGCTTTAAAAGTTAATGTATACCCTACCCGCGATTTCTTTCATTTAGCTCAATCAAATATAAAAACTTTTGGACATTGGCCCTGTTTGTCCCTAAGGTTCAAATTTATATATCAATTTTAATATTGAAAACAATGAGCGTTGGAGTTATAGAATAGAAGAAAAACTTATAGTGGATAAATAATTGACTTTCATGGAGATTGAAGAGATGGTTGAGGTGTTCAGTCACAAGTAACAAAGTAAAAATAAATAAATTATATTTATTTTCATTTTTTCTAATGTTTCGGCCCATGTTGTCCTCGCGAAAGGCTCCATAAGACAGAAGAAAAACAGTATTAGTAAAAGCTACCAAAAAATTGGATAAACTAATATTAATGCAAATTTAGAAAATCTAAAAATTTTAATAGTGAAGAATATATTATTTTGTTTACTTTATAAAAATTTATATTAACTTTTATATCTATATTGGATATGGTAACTATATTGAGTATCTCATAAAAATGATAAAATTTTGTATGTTACTATTGTATTATATTAAACAAGAATCAAAATAATGAGAATATTATGTATGAAGTTTTTCTTATAAACAGTTCAACATTCAATTTTAAATTATGCTAAGGATTGATCAATTGGATATTCAAATCCATAATCAGTATATTGTTGCTTATAATTTAAGTCTTCAACATATTGACCAAACAATGTATTCATGTTTTTATTTTTGTATTTGTAGATAACCAGCCAATTTCAATGATAAAAGAAACAGATCCTATTTATTGTATAGAACTTCCCGAATTGAAAGAAGCCTCCCAAGACACGGGTGAATACATCCTTCTTATTTGGATCAACACATTAATTATTGAAGACCAGTGTTCTAGGTAATTGCTAAACATTCCATTTATTAATGGATGAATGAACTTTGATATAAATGAACTTAAATATAATCTTAAGAACTTTATAATTATAGGTTTAGTAGTCCTTACACAATGCAGGTCTGCAGGGAGACATCTTATATTGATGTCGAGAAGTTAATGCTTAAAGAAATGTGTTGGTCAGTTGCCGATGGTGTCTTAGAAGCTGATACTGTAAGTTTTTTTCTTAGTAGATTTAGACAAATCTCCAGGAGTAAATCTAAAAACAAGCAAACGGCTTCTTTTAGATTACTGATGAATGAATATCAAATAAGTTAAAACTACTTCTAATTACCCCATCAATAATTATTACCATTTACTTTATTGGTTTGCTCCTTGTGCCACTTATTATTTTATTCTTTATTCGTTTAGGCTAATCAAATGTAATTAGTTTGAAAATTAAGTTTATATCAATAAAAATTTCCTTTTGTTCATAATTCTAATACCGTCTGTACACCAATTGCTTAATTGCTTTAGAAGATATTTGTTTTACAAGATAGCGTTACAGCCACAGCACTTTGGCCATTTTAAAATCTGAAAGCTTATATTAATTATTATGTAGAACATAGTTGTTAAATTAAACAGTATTTTTAAACAGTGTATCCAGTAACATTTCCATTAGTAGAAAACACATTGCAGTATTCATAAGTTTTGCATCCGATTCTTATTCTAAAATGTTCCAAATATTAAATTCATAATCTTCTGTTGTTTTAATGTGTATGTTAAATACCTCATGGATTGTTGGAATTTATTAAGTGATTCATAACTAATGAACACGTTGGCAAGATCATAGGTTTATGTGAATCATAAATCAGATGATATTATCTATTTAATTTCTAAAATGTGAATGAAAACTAAAAAAAATTATTTTCTGTATTTGGATGTATCCTTGAAGGAACTTTAATGTGTTAGGAAAGCCTGCCAGGAGAAGTGCGAATGAGGATAATTGCGCCCGGGTGTGGTACAGCTTACCTTGACCCTACTCTAGAGCATCCGTTATATGATGAAAGTGTCGACAATGCCATTGCTCTCTGTGATACTACTTCGGCTCCTCAGCATCTCAAATTAGTTCTTGAGTGGGACCTTCGTGCCAAAGACAGGTAATATTTATTTATCATTATATTGTAGAATTTATGATGAATTAAGGACTTATCATATGGTCCTTCTTCTGTTGTGACATTAATGCAATAGTTTCACTCTTATTAAAAAGTTTATGTTATAAACTTGCATGCATAGATATGAAATTGTTATCACGAAAATCTTATTTATCTTATTTTGTATATTTGTTAGCAATTTATTATAACAATCTGTTTTTTTATTGCTTAGTAGATTTTAAATTGTAGCACAGTCAACTCTTGGTTATCTACAGGTTGACTATTGATGGTGACATCAACAATAAAATAGTTTTTAATTAAGCTATTTATTGGATAAACAATGTTGCTATTTGGATAAGCTGTAATTTTTTTTTGTAATATTTTATATACATTCACTTATTCATATTAAGCAATTCCTTGCTTGTTCTTATTTTAAATTAATTTTTAGAAAATGAAATTTATTTTACATGTGGATTATCCACCAATTGCAGCCATCTGCAGCTGTCACCCCTTCGATTCCATTGATAATAGGCAGTTGACTGTATTTAATATTATTAAATCCTTAATGTTGATTTAAGATCTAACTCATGATGATTAAGATTTTCTATTATATATATCTTTTTGTCTTCTAGTATGGTAGTTGATGATGCTGATCATGTCGTTGAACACTCTTCAGTAAAACTCCTGAAACAGAATGCCGAACTTGGAGGTTCAGTTACACTAGAAGAATGTTTTCAGGTATATATACTATTATCTAAAAAAGGTCTTATTTATGTTTTATGAATGAAAACCTTTTCTGGAAAAACAATGTATCCAATATTTCCTACCTTTTCCATCTTAAAACGTTTTAAATACCTCCGTCACCTATGTCCATTTGAAATTCTTTAGCTTATGGTTACTATCTTGACATTCACCCACTTTGACTATTTGTTGTGTGGTATATGGTGGTGTTTCCTAGGATCTCAAGGCAAAACTAAAATGGTTGATGAATTGCTTTGTACATTAGATTGAAGTGGTTAATAAATTGTGTCATTAGATCTATCTATAATTAAAATTTTGAAATAACTTGTGCCTTTCTTTCATTTTAATTTCAAGACTCGATAGCTATGTAATTTAATTAACAACAAAGTGATTCATTCTTAGGGGACTGAATGTCCCAGAATAAAATTTTCTTTTCTTTCTTCTTTAGGTTTTATCTTTGGAATCCTTAGGAACATGTCTGTCCCATTTGTATGCAGTGTTGACCTCTGTCACCTCTTTCTCTTGTTTTTATCCTACTGTCGTAAGTATTTCATGAAAGTTATCCAATCCTGCCATCCATCATACATTTCTAAGCTCCTTTAATTGAAATCCTTGTTTTATCAGATTTCTAGGTCGAAGATTCTGAAATCCTCAGCCTTCAGATCTTTTAATATCCGATCCTCATCTCTATGGAATTTATTTTCATATTCATCACTTTAATATCCTTCCCATATTTAAATCCCGTCTCTTTAACCATTTCCTGTCCATCCACTCCTCCCAAAATTTAAATAGATACATTTAAAATGTGTACATTAATTGTTTTTTGTTTTTTTATTATTCCATGTTAATATCATATTTTTTAATTTTATTATTATTTATTTGTTTTTATATGTGCTAACATTGAAAATTGTGTCATGATTTCTTATTATTTCTGTCCTTTTTTTGTTATTACTCTGAGGTTCTAAAACTCATAATTTTGTTTTTGTACATTATTCAAAAGGGACTTTGAACTTTTCTCAGAATAAATAAAGAGTTTATTATTATTAATATCATGTTTTAAAAACTGTTCAGTCTGATGGTCTGTGCCAAATATCAAGACCGCGTTTTTGTTTCCTTTATCTTCTTTAACAGCTTATGTACTTAATCAAGGCAAGATTGTAAATCGCATAAAATATTTCCATTCTATTTGGCAGCCTATAGCCTATAACTGAACTAGAATATACATCATTTATGATATCAATCAGATTAAGCTCTAATTGTATGTTTTATCGTAGATTATCTAATAATGCGGACTTAGTATTACGAAGTTAGTATTAGTCGTGTTCTCACCCTTTGTTTCCCTATTAATTTATTTGTATATGTACATAATTATAGACTATAGATTTATTGATATTCATCTTTCCTTCTACGCTTGATTTTAATAATTTTTAAGACTTTAATCTCTATAACTAAATATTTATATGTATAATTTACTTATTATAATATATTATGTTTTAATTTATCTCCTTAGCTGTATACAAAAGAGGAAGTTCTTGGAGCTGAAGATGCTTGGCATTGCCCTAGTTGCAACCTGAAACAAGAGGTTGTGAAAAAACTTGGTCTGTGGTCCCTACCAGACATTCTTGTAATACATCTGAAAAGGTTTAGGCAGCCTCCTCCTAAAAATCCTAACAGGTAATATATAAACATATCTTTACAACTTTTCTTTAATCGACCTTTGAGTATTAAATTTAAACATAACCATTTAATTGGGAATAAGGTCACTTACTAGTTATTTAATAAACTACTAAATGTTCATTTCCTCTGTGTTTATTGACGTTTCGATCCCGGTATTTTTCTTTTTATAAGTTAACAATGGGATCCTCTTCAAAGTTTTAAAAATTGAGCTTCGATACCTCAGGCCAGGGACACACCAACAGTCTCAGCACCGTCCACCAGCACATATATTAAGCTACTGAGCTACAAGATTAGCTTAATATATGTGCTGGTGGACAGTGCTGAGACTGTTGGTGTGTCCCTGGCCTGAGGTATCGAAGCTCAATTTTTAAAACTTTGAAGAGGATCCCATTGTTAACGTATAAAAAGAAAAATACCAGGATCGAAATGTCAATAAACACAGAGGAAATGAATATAATATGATATATATAACATATCATATTAGGTATATCATCATAAAAATATTATTTATCACAATTGTTCCTTTATATATATATTGTAAATTAAAGGGATATTAGATTTTTCGGTTTATCAATTTACTTTACTTAAAAATAAACAGTTACAATTTTATTATAATACTATATTATCTATTAAATCTCAATAAGTAAAACATTTGTATCCATGCCAAACAAAATAATAATAATGCGATCATTGATAGTGCAATTGCATCTTGATGTGTAGAGAAACATCTTTTAACATTCCTACTGATTCAAACTGTAAAAACTCTAAGGAGTAATCTCCAGTGAGGTAATTCTAAGAAATAATAACAATAAGGCTTAGCTAAACTGAAAGTTCGATGCCAACACCATGAATCACTTATTACACACCTCCCTCCATCGGTTGCCGACCAAATCCAGTTTCTTCAGATTGGCCTTAACGCAATTTCTCACCTTCGCTTCGTTCTACTCCTCAGAGGTTTACCGCTCATGTCAAACATACATTTCTTTTAATGAAGTCTCAGTACATCTTATATATCCAAATACTAATATTATTATTATTAGAAAGATTTTCTTTGTTTTAATTTTATATCTTATAATTATAATTATTCCATGAATAAAGAATCTATTAACATTACTATTAATCTATTAATCCATTAATTTATAATAGATCCTTCTAATGAAGGAAAACGGAAACTTGAAATAATTTGATTGTTCAATCTTGAAATTTGTAGCATAAATTTCATGACATAATAATTAACTTCAATATCAAAGAAATCCAAAATGTTAAATGGATATATGATGTTGAAATAATTAAGCAGTAAGGAAAGGAAGGAAGTAACTAATATAAAACAAGTGTATTCTTCATAACAATGATTGAGTAGTTGAAAAGTTAAACAGTATTCAGGTAATTACTTTTTAAATCAGATATAAATCACATTTGCTTATTTTACTTTAATAATGTACTTATAATACTGCATGACTACTTTCTCAACAGAAGTAAGAATGCACGAAGTACTTTTTCCTTAAAGAAGTATTCAAATTAGGAAACATAATCATGAACTGCCAATCTCTAACTTTATGTAATAAAGTATGTTAAAATAATGATTTATCAATGATCATGTGAAAAATCTCTCGTAATACGGATAAATGAAGATTTAATAGGAGGCCCTGCTGGTGTAATTTTAGAGTAACTTATCTTTAATAAAAAAAATTAAAAAACTTTTGAATTATATAAGAAATAGATTTTTCAGATGAGCAATGATGTATTGTAATATATTATAGTTATAAGCATTATGTGTTGTGAATGAAAATAAAGTTAATTTTTTCATAAAAAGTTCCATTAATTTTTTAATAAAAAATAGAAATTCATACTTTTAAATAATCAATTCCATGTTTCAACTAATCATTCAATGTTCATTATCTTATAGATCTACCATCAAACTCACAACTCTGGTAGACTTCCCAGCTAATGGATTTGATATGTCTCCTCACCTGTGTGGCTCGGGAAACTCTAATATGTGGTTGAAAAAAGGTCAAGGATCTCAGAACAATACTTACGACCTTTATGCAGTTTGCAATCATCATGGACAGAATCTGCACACTGGTCATTATACAGGTAAGGATTGGAATAAGCTATTTGGTTTTACACAATGTTTCGATGTGAATATATTTAACTTCCAATATGATCAATGAAACATATTGATACTGTTCAAAAACTAATTAATTTTAGTTATACTATGATTAAAAACTAAATTCATTTCAAGTCTGGATTGGCTAAAAATGTATATCTTATAAACAGAGATTACATGTGGAAGTATTTAATTTTAAAAGCTTGAGTTAAAATGGAGATTATTATATCAAAGGAAATCTGTACTGTTATCATTGAGTGCAATATTGGAGGGTATAAGAATATAACTCGATTTTAAAACTGATGATGGAAGGATTATTTATTGTGACATGAAGAGGACTAGTAGAAATTATGTTAATACTCATAAAATAATTCTATAATTACCCATTATAATTAATTTAAATCTACTTTAAGATATCTCTGTTGATTATCCAATTGTCTATGAATAGATATTTTGATGAATTAATAATAAAATCATTAACATATTTGATCACTATAGTCCTACTTTATTTCTTTTTTTACATCAACTTTTCAGCTCATGGTCCATTATCAAGGGAAGAAACAATTGTCTTATCTCGCTGCTTATCTAAATAAATTGCATATATTTTATATGGTATCTTTATTTAATAATCTAAATTGAATGTTCAGAAAAATGTGCCTCTTTCAACTATTTTTTTTTTTTATCCGTTTGAAGTATTTAGTTATTAAAATTAATTCTAGTTTCCAATTGATTCCTCTAGTTTATTATGAATAATAGAGATTTTTGAGAGGGAAAAAAATTGCTTAAATATTAATTTTATGCATTTTACTGCAAACGGACGGTTCCAGTCCCATTTAATCCAGATTAGTGGGACTCTAATATATTTAAAATTTTCAAATGGATCAGCTAAATTCTAAATTCATTTGTTCCATTCTTACTGGAACTTTTCTCTCATTTTGGTTTTTGGTATGTTTGATCCTTGTTCAAAGAGAGGTAAATATCAATGTTTTGTTAGAGACTGTTCATATTATTTTAATAAAGCAGCTATTTCTTAATTTAATGTATCCAATATTATTATTTATTTACAGCTTATTGCCGAAATCCTTACAATGGTCAATGGTACTGTTTTGATGACACTAGAGTAACTAGTATTAGTGAAAGTGAGCTAGTCACCACTGCAGCTTACATCCTGTTCTACCAAAGGAGGGGTCTTCTTTCTCCTTCCACTTCATCCTCTGCCTCAACCACTTCAGAGCACTGGGCTACCAGGCTTGTTCCTGTCTCTAGGCAAGGTATTTAGACAATGATAGATATTATTTTAAATTAGATACGTAATGTAATCTCAGAATAAGACCAGAAGAACAAATTTGGCCTTTCATTATTATTATTGAAGAAAAAAAAAGTACCTTTTTATATTCAAAGGTATTTGCATTTAGAAAGATAGGGTAGGGGGTTAAAAGTTTATTCAAATTAACACTGGAACATTTATTAGATAATTAATCTGTATTGAGATAGGTTTAACTTTGACTATTTATGGTTTTTCTGTGTGAATGATACACTATCGTTAAGTAAAGATGCAGACATTAGTGAAAAAAGTTATTTTCTCTAAGGAAGGTTTTGTAAATAACATTTTATCATATCTGAGTAAATACTTTATCAGAACATTGGTCTTGAAAAAGTTTAGAAAGTCTTATCAGTAATTGATTTTTAATGTGTGTTTGTTGCTAACTTGTTTAAATTTAAAATATAATTTTTTAATTGTAGTCTTATGGTGGGTTATACTAACAGTTATGATTAAAGTTAATTCCTTTATTAACTAAATCAAGTTAAAACTTAAAATTTTAGTCCAATTGTCCCAAATAATTTTTAAACCAAGTCAGTTAACAAGTGATTAAAGTGTGACGTCATCTTATTTGTGATATATTTTAAGAAGAACCGATGATGGTTAAGGAACTTGAGTAATATTATGAAACCTTCCATTCACTTGTGTGTTAACTTTGATATTTACACTTTTCTAAGTATTACAATGGTTATCCATCGGTTTTTAATTATTTGTAAAGACGAATGAAAAAAGAGAAAGAAGAAGTAATTTTATTGAAAGTGAAAAGCAGTTACTGTTTCCTATAATTCCTGAACATTTCAAAGGAATGAGTAACAAAAAACCTAATGGATTAGCAATAAAAGAAAAAAAAATTGCATGGGCACAGATTGCAGAAGCATTTAATACTGCCTGCAATGGGTTTCGATCAGCAACTCAATTTAAAATAGCTTATTTGGATTTTAGGAGGAAATTAAGAAAGATATAATAAATGAAATCATATTTATAGTCATCTTGAAAAACAAAGAAACAAAAAAAAAAAAAAACATTACACTACTATTCTCAGAAGAAGCAAATATTTGTTTGTTGTTAGAAGTAACAGTATGCAAGGTAACAGTTTAACATTGTTTAAGGATTTGATCAAGTTCTCACGTTGGATTAGCTAGTTATGATAACCATAGGTGCAGACTTTTGATTTTAATTGGGGGAGGGAGGCAATGGACTAAAAAAAAAAAAAAATGGCCGGAGTTTTTATTATGGGTAAAAATTCAACATAATTATTGTAAAACGAAGAAATATAATATTGAATATTTACTTCTTTTTTTTTTTTTTTTGTTCATATGTTTGTCTAGTTATATGAATTTTTTTTGGGTTTACTGGATATATGTACTTGAAAATATCTTTTAAAAAATACAATTGAATATATAACATACATATATAGATTAAACACAGGGGAATAGAAATTGAGGGGTGATTGAATTATAAAATGTAAGATATGTTGATATGCAGGGTGTCCCGTAAGTAAGGGGAAATATTTAAACAGGTAATTGTACACGCTATGAGCTATGAAAAAAGTTCATTTGAACAATGGTGCGATTTTTGGCAGAATAGTAGGAAATTTAAGTTATGTGTTTTTTTAAGTGTCACAGTTTTAGATGAATAGGAAGTGATAACTAAAACATAATTTAATATAATTAATTGAAAACTGATTCGCTGTAAACTAGACAAAATTTACTTCAACCATAAGTGGAGTTAGTCATTGTTAAAATTATTCAAACAGAACTTTTGAGCGGATACACTAAGCTAAGTTCTGTTTTTAAAAAATCATGAATTAATTGCGATTTTTATTTTTCACCCTTCAACTATACTACAGACACCCCATTTTTAGGAAGACTTTCTTATTTTGCAAGCTATCTGTCCATATTAATTAAGTTGGGGATTTATTTACACCTCAATTTGTGTAAAAAAAAGATGTGTTTTGATATCCTGTCACCTTAAAGTACGCGTGTTTTAAGCAAAAAGAACCGCAATGTTAAAAATAATGATTTTTCAAATATTTATTATTTGAAATTATTATGAAACTGTGGTTTTTATAAGGCTCTGTATTATAGAAATTGGTTCCTATTTATAAATGATCAATTAAATGTTTTTAATCCTAATATTTACGATTTCATGAAAATAATTCAAGCAATCGGCAAGCTTCTTTATTTTACAAGTGGATGTTAGGATTGGAATTGTCTAAATGGTCACTTATAAATATATTTATTTTATCTAATTGGAAGGTGATAAATAAAAATTGCGAATAATTCATGATTTTTTATATATGACCACACAGTTTAATTTATTTGCTCAAAAGTTCACTTTAAATGGTTCCAACAATAACCAACGCTACTTTTGTTTTAAGTAAATTTGTCTAGTTTACAGTGAAGTAATTCTTAATTAATTATATTAACTAATATTTTAGTTATCACTTTCTATTCATTAAAAACCATGATAATTTAAAAAACACGAAACATTAATCGTCTACTATTCTGTTCAAAATCGGGCTATTTTTTATATGAAGTTTATGATAGCCCCAGAGATCTACTATTACCTGTTCAAACATTTCCTCTATTTACGGAAAACTCTTTATGTTATTATCTTTGAATATAAGTGACGAATTAAATAAAAATAATATTTAGGTATCAATTAACTACCTACTACTAGGCCCTAGCCTAGCTTGGCGACTTTTCTTAACTGATTTTAGTTTAGATATTTTATTCATTTATTTATTATTGATTTTAATTTTTTTTTCCCCCTCAAAATATTGGGAGAGCGAAACGATATTCTCATTCCCTCAACATTTTTATTGGGGAGTAGTCGTCGTAGTCTGCGCCGCGCCTATGATGATAACCACACAGTGTTTATAAGGCTTATCACCTTGGTGCAACGAAAATTATATTAACCAATGATAATCTAATGAAAATTATTAAAATTACAGTTAACAATTGTTGGTGCATCCGGGCTTTAAAAAGTTAAATCAGTTATATAGTGCACTATAATAAATGTTTATGTACAAATATGGATGAAATATTTAATATTATCCCAAATATCTGAGATGATTGTAATTGCATTATTTAACTATAGATTTACAATTTTTATTTTGAGGTCAGTGTTTATATTTGTATCAATATCTATCAATTTTTTTTTTCTTTTGCAGAAGAGAGGTTTCAGAGGAATTCAAGGCAGTATGCCACTGTTCCTGCGAGACAGTCTGCTCAGGACTTGAACTCTCAGGGAAATGATAGGATGGTTGGTATATATGAAAAACTGTATTAATTCCATTTCTAAAACAGTTTATATTCTCAAAGTATTTAACTAATAGTATTTAAAATTTTATATTATTTCAGGGTGATGACACATCTAGTATTGAAGACAAACAAAATATTGAAAATGTAACAATGAGCCCTATAGATCTCACTGAATCGGTTGTCTGACCCCAGCTTCATGAGGCTGTCCCTCCCATCTCTGTAAATACATTGTAGAAATATTTATAAAACTCAGAGAGATATTTCCTTTTTGTAATATAAATTTCATTTATAGCATTTCCACATACAATTTTTATAAGAATTTTTATACAGTTCTTGTAATTTTGTACCTTGAAGCTCATTATCAGTTTAATCGATGTAAGATCTATGATTTTTGAATGAGTTAATCCCACTAGTTTGATATTTTGGGACCAATAACTACTAGAAGATTATTTTATTTATGTGATTGATAAATTTAATTGTTATTGTTTAATTTATTGCTTGCTCTTCCGGGTCTTTCATTTTGTTATTGTTCATATCTATCTGCATTTACAAGATATAATTTTTTTCTCCCCATTTTATTATATTAAATTTTATTTTAAGTTAATTATATTTCATTTGTAATAAAGGTAAAAGCCTTTAAAATAGTAGGAAAGACCTCGCATTTGAATGGTTTTTTATTTTGTCATTAAGTAATGTTTTAGATATTATATGTACGTTTGTATCACAGTTGCATTGTTATTTTTCCATGTTGTCTCTTTAATTGCTCTTTTTCCAGCTGTGGGTGTTTATATGTGTATATTATTAAGAGCTGAATGTTGTTTGTATTATTTTGAACAAATGCTTTAATGATAGTTCTTTTAGCCAATCAAATTGAGTGGTAAAATTGTACATAGACTGTACTGAAATTGAAGTTATATATGGAGGACTGTCAGAGAGAAATGAGGCATCGCTACCTCTGATTCATATTTTTTACATGAAAGAAAATAGGGTCAATTAAAAGTTACCCATTTTGTTATAAATTATAAATGTTTTAATATATTATCTTTAAGTTAATTTAATAAATATGATTAGATATTTCTTTTCTTTTAAGTTTCTTCCAGAAATGTTCACAAAAGGCACTAATGCACTAACTAGTCAAAGAAAAAAAATCTAGTTACAATGTATCACTTTAAGCATCTCATGAAATGTGCATAAGAAGAATTTATAGCTCTCAAATAGTTGTGAATAATAAATTTAATTATATAAATATATATATAAAAATGCAAAATAAATTTCATGGTTATATTTTTAATTATGGAGTTTATCAATTTGTTCCTTTTTCCTATTGTAGTTCCTATTAGTTTTCTTTATTGTTTATAAAAAAAAGAAAAGTATTCTATAAAGTTTTCTATAAATTTTCTCTAATATTTTCTTTATTCAGTTACCATTAAGGTTGTATCTAATGAAATATCTGTCAGTTTTTTGGAATACTATTAATAAAACATGAATGGATGTAATATAAAAAAAAAATATCGGTCTTAAGATACAGAATATACTTGCGTATCTACTTAAACACATTGGTAGGCATGAAATCTATAAATATTGAAACAGTGTAGTAGTTCCAAACCCTAAAGAAACTAAAAAATCTGGTAATACTTTAATAATTTACTTTCTGTATATTTACACTCACAAATGCAAGGATCCTTAACTTGTGGAACGCACTCAATTACTTCAAGTTTTAATATTCATAAACATCAATTTTGTTAAGAACCCATCAATGTGTTTAAGTAGATATCTAAGGATACTCTGTGCATTAGGATGGATAGAGTTTCCACATTCATTTTTTAAAAAATTAATTTATTTTTCATTTTAATGTTACTTTTTGAGTATTCTTTTAAACTATAACTGAGAAAGAAATATACTTACCTCCACCTAAAAAGACACAGATAATACGGTATAGCTAAATAGAATTACTTTAAAAAACTTCAAACTTTCCTAATAAAAATAGTATGACTCATAACTAAAGTACCTTGATAGGGGAATAACAAAAACTTACCCTTGCCATTTGAACAATCCATGGGGACTCCTTACCAACGATTTCATTCACATTTCAATGTGCACAGTTCTACTAATGTAATAGATATGGTACTGACATGTCCATGACTACGAGTGAAAAATTGAAATGGTGTTGGATGAGAGATCTTCCTTACCAAATAATGGTGATTGAATCAAGTCTGGACATAGGTAATACTGGGTTCTATCCTGCTCAATTCATGGCATATTATTTCCTTCAGACGATTTGCTGATTTCAAACAGTTTCTATAATTTAAACATATATATAGTATGAATCCATAGAAATAGAACAGTTACAATAAATGTCAATAAGTCTAGAATATAGAAGTAAGTATAAACAAAGTTCAGGGACTAACTTTTAATAACATTAAATTCAACTTAAAATTAATTGTTATGTTAACATTTCAATTTTGACTGATTCCCCTTAAATGTTGCCTTATCTAGCAGATAGGTTTCCCGAGAAAACAATTAATTATATATTTATGCCCTTAAAAATATTGTTAATTTTGTACTTTTCAAGATTTTAATAATAATTTTAACGAAATCATGTTCATTATAAATATAGCTGATCTAAAGCCATCAAACTGAAGACGGTTCCTATCAAGTCAGTATTTTTTCCAAGTGACTAGTCCTTTTTTTTTACCCATAAATTTTGACCATTTCCTCATCAGCAGATATGGATTATCCAAAATTAACACTGATGGGTCCGCAGGGCACAGCTAGTTTAAAAATAAAAAGAGTTCATGAAAGAATAACATTTTAAAATTAAATAAAGAATTAATTTAAAAACTCTTTTTAAATAAAACAATTATCAATAGTGAAATATGCCAACTTCAAATGTTTAATACAACAAAACTTAAGAATTTTTATTTATTTATTTATGAAGAGAAAGATGGTTGGGGTGATCAGTCATAAATAAGAAGGCCGACGTTTGCCGACGTTTCAACCTGAAGTTCAGGGCTAAGAAAAGAACCAGATAACAAGGTATGAGAAACATAAATAATGTAGGTAAAACAAATTAAAGTAAAATGAAGTGGGTAGAATAATGACAATAGTAAGAACTAAGAGATAAATAATAATAACCGTTACAAAGTGTGGAATGATAAAGTAAACATAATAAAAAAAAAAGGTGACATAAGTATTAAAATGGCAATCTTAGAATAAAATGTAAAACAGAAAAAAGGAATATGAAGTTATATAAGAAATGAAAATAAATAGTAAAATTAAGATATTGTAAATAGAATAGTTAGATGGAAAATTGTGACATTGTAAAGTCTATCAAAATGTACTGACAATGTATAATAGAATAAACAGTTAGAACAGAGAAAAGGAATGAAAGGAAAGAGGAAAAAAAGAGAAGACTGAAATCAAAAAAGAAAAACAACCCTCCTCCAAAAGCTGACTGCAATAGAGTGAAGAGATAGTAGCAAGGGAGGGGAGAGATGTATGGTTGCGTCATGAACAAGAGATATATTACTCATAATAATTAAACGACAGTTTAATAGAAAGAGGATGGAAATGATCTGAGGAAGGAATAAAGTAGAGATAATAACTGTTAAGTAATAATGGAGAATAATTGAAATTTATACATATCATATATATATATATACACATATATATACGTATATAAAATTTTTTAAAAAAACTCTAGCTTATGGCTTACATTCAAATCTCACAACACACTTTCTAAATTATACACATCTCTAAAAGATCCTGTTCCTTTCTCATATCGTTTACCGTATTCTGTGTTCTACCCCCCATTGTTTTTCATCCTATATTGGTGAAACCAAAAATCTTCTAAAAGGCTGCATCATCCAACATAAATATTCTGTATCCTCCCATAATTTACTGCATCCAAAATATCCGAACATTCTCTCTCCCTTAATCATACATTTGATTTCCCTATCATGGGCAAAATCCTGGAAAAACTCATCCTAAAACGCCTGTATCCCATCCTAGACTCTAATCATATTATCCCTGATCACCAATTTGGATTCCGCACATTGCATTCCACTATCCAACAATGTCACCGTGTGGTTGATGTAGTCTCCTCTGCATTGGAGCTCATAATATGAACTGCATGGGAGTCTTTCTGGACGTTGAACAGGCGTTTGATCAAGTCTGGCACCCGGGTCTTCTGTACAAACTCCGAAAAGTCCTACCCCCTACATACTTCCTCATTATCCGCTCCTTTCTTACTGATAGATACTTCAAAGTAAACCAAAATAATGTCTGCTCATCCCTCATTGCTCAATCTCCAGGCATTCCACAAGGTAGTATCCTCGGTCCCATCCTCTACACAGTTTATACAGCTGACATCCCAACCCATCCTGACACTGTCATCACCACTTACGCCGATGACACATGTTTGCTATCTGTTAATAATGACCCTTTAATTGCATCCCAAACTCTGCAATCACATATCACAAACCTTGAAGAATGGTGTAAAAATTGGAGAATAAAAATTAACTCCAACAAATACCATCAAATCACCTTTACCCTCCGTCGTAAACCCATGACTTATTGTCCTATAGTATCCTTCAATAATACTCCACTTATTCCTGTTGAGCAAATCCCCTACTTAGGACTCCACTTGGATAAATGTCTTACTTGGAATCCTCATATTAGACTGAAACGACAAGAAACTGCTCGACGTTTCCGACTGCTCCAACACTTAGACAAACGCTCCAAACTTTCAATTAATTACAAAAGACTTATCTACATTACTATAATAAGACCTATATGGACATATGGAGTTGAGCTTTGGGGCTCCACCAAACCATCGAATTCCTATTGTATCCAATCCTTACAATCCAAAATCCTCCGTAAAATCCTTAATGCTCCATACTTTGTCACAAATAAAACCATTCATAATGACCTTAATGCCATTATTTATAATTTGCACATATTTACTAGTTGTATTTGTATACAGTTATAAATTTCATTAAATAAACAAAAAAAACATTTGATTTCGACAAAACTTCCATCCTTGCCTCCGTACTTAACCATGACAAACGATTCATTTCTTAAACCCTCCACATCCAGCTCCAACCAAAGACAGTGAATCTAAAAACAGACAAACAAAACTTATCCTTAGCCTATTCCCAAATTCTGAATTTATTAAAACATCTATA